CACTGGGTTTCATCGACTCAAATCCTGCCATTAGCATTTTACATCAAGATAGGGAAATCCCAATTATTTTTAATTTCAAATTGTCTGTTTTTCAAGAATCAAAGGGAACATATTTGGAAGGAATCTAGATGAAAATATAAATAGAAGGAGACATCTTGTTTTACGAACATTTGTGTAACCCATTAGGAAGGAAGACCATCTGTCTATGTTGATGAAAATGGACCTGGTGAGTGGTAGCACTAAAGGTCACATCCTGTTGGCCATTGATGGGGGCTGAATTTTAGCAAAGACAAGAGTCATGTCCCTTGACAAGTGTATTTCCTGTGTCCGTACCATCATCAGTCACTGGTATATCATTGGACTGTGCAGCTGGAGGTTGTCAAGGGTACAGTACAGGTGCAAGGGTGTCTGGAGAAAGATGCCTGGAGACATGGAATACGCAGGTTCCCGTTGTTGATGATGCTGTCCTTGTATGTAGTCAGAGGTTGTGCGTACCCTTCAGTGGTGTTTGTATACTAAGTGATGCTGTCCTTGTGTGTAGTCAGAGGTTGTGCGTACCCTTCATTGGTGTTTGTATACTAAGTGATGCTGTCCTTGTATGTAGTCAGAGGTTGTGCGTACCCCTCAGTGGTGTTTGTATACTAAGTGATGCTGTCCTTGTATGTAGTCAGAAGTCGTGCGTACCCCTCAGTGGTGTTTGTATACTAAGTGATGCTGTCCTTGTATGTAGTTAGAGGTTGTGCGTACCCTTCAGTGGTGTTTGTATACTAAGTGATGCTGTCCTTGTATGTAGTCAGAAGTCGTGCGTACCCCTCAGTGGTGTTTGTATACTAAGTGATGCTGTCCTTGTATGTATAGTCAGTGGTTGTGCGTACCCCTCAGTGGTGTTTGTATACTAAGTGATGCTGTCCTTATATGTAGTCAGAGGTTGTGCGTGCCCCTCAGTGGTGTTTGTATACTAATTGATGCTGTCCTTGTATGTAGACAGAGATTGTGCGTACCCCTCAGTAGTGTTTGTATATACTAAGTGGTGCTGTCCTTGTATGTAGTCGGAGGTTGTGCGTACCCCTCACTGGTGTTTGTATACTAAGTGATGCTGTCCTTGTATGTAGTCAGAGATTGTGCGTACCCCTCAGTGGTGTTTGTATATACTAAGTGATGCTGTCCTTGTATGTAGTCAGAGGTTGTGCGTACCCCTCAGTGGTGTTTGTATATACTAAGTGATGCATTGCTGCTGTTCCTGCTGTTTTGTGATGGGTAATAGCACTTTACTTTTTCTAGGTTAATCAAATGTCACAGAATTCTAAACTTGTTTCCAAATATTGTAGTGGTACTCGGCAAACAAACATTCTACGTGTGTCATCCAATTCACAGATTTTATTTCAATACGATATTTGTATGAAGTTTTCATGGCCAAAGATAAACCTTTTAGGAGTGAGCCGCAATAAGGGGTTCCATTGGTTTAAGTTTTCTTTTGGTAACTGGAATTCTCAGAATCAAATATTTTCATTGATGGAAAATTCCTTAAGGTGCTTTATCAAAATCATGAATTTCCTGAACACCTCCCTCACCCATTTTCCCCTGGGGATAACATTAAATTAATAATTATTGATATAGACAAAAATAACCTTTTTGAGAATATTTTCAGTTTACCTGAACCAAAAGCTCATTGGTGGCTTAAAACTATTGTCATCCATCTTTATCTGTCATTATCTATTGTCCGTAATACGCCGTCCATTAGGAATGAACAATTCTGACTTCTTATGAATCACCAAAATGTTGGAGTCCAAACTAAGAGCAAATGACCCGTATGAGGTTCTGATCAAGTGTTCTTACATTTTGGACTGATCCAAAACTCAAAATACCAACTCTGGCTACATTCTGATTGTCCGAGACATTTTTTAAATTCATCTAAAAAAACTACTGCAGCTGTTGACTCCAAACTTAATTAACAAAATTAATGTTCCTTATGTGATCCTGACCAAGACTTTTTTTGTGTAGATCCAGAATTAAAATGACCATCCTGGCCTCTGATTGGCTAAAACATTTTCAATTTATTCTTAAGAACAGCTACTGCTATTGAGGCCAAGTGTGGTGAAAATGGTCCTTATGTGGTCCAGATGAGGTTCTTATTTTTTTATCGATTCAAAAATGAAAATGGCCAACCTAGGCCTTAGTGACTGCTGTGACACTTTCAACGTCTTCTTCAAAGAACTGATGCAGCTATTGGCTTCTGTCTTTCTATACATGTTTTTATCATATTTTGGTCAAATGTTCTTAGCTTTTGCCTTATCTGCAGTCCAAAATGGCCACCCCAAACCAAGCTATTACATCAGCCAAACACTAGCTAAAAACTCATTTTCATAAGTTGCTCCACACTGTATAACCTTACTATTTGATATAAATTCAGACACACTGTACAATTACATTGGTATGTTTAATATCAACATTTTTGTAAAACAGATTTAAATCCCTGTCCCAAACCATAATTAACCGCAACATTCAGAATATTCTTGGTGACAGTTTAGGTCCCTGGGTGTTTAGGTCCCTGGGTGTTTAGGTCCCTGGGAATCTTAAGTTCTGCTTATTTTGAGTGGAAATTAATTGATCTCTTTGGGATAGAAGGTTGATTAAAATTAAAGCCTTGACCCTCCTTAAGGGCTGCATACAATGTACATGTCTGTCTTGTTTCTTATATGATTATTTCCACATTGTGCTGCAAATTTAAAACAATAAAAAAAATATTACGTTACAACTCAGATGATATTAAGGCCCATGGGCCTCTTGTTTTTTATTACATTACGAATCAGATGATATTAAGGCCCATGTGCCTCTTGTTTTTTATTACATTACGACTCAGATGCTATTAAGGCCCATGGGCCTCTTGTTATTATATTACAACTTAGATGATATTAAGACCCATGGGCCTCTTGTTTTTTATTATATTACAACTCAGATGATATTAAGGCTCATGGGCCTCTTGTTTTTTAGTATATTACTACTCAGATGATATTAAGGCCCATGGGCCTCTTGTTTTTTAGTATATTACGACTCAGATGATATTAAGGCCCATGGGCCTCTTGTTTTTTATTACATTACAACTCAGTTGATATTAAGGCCCATGAGCCTCTTGTTTTTTTATCACATTACGACTCAGATGCTATTAAGGCCCATGGGCATCTTGTTTTTTATTACATTACAAGTCAGATGCGATTAAGGCCCATGGGCCGCTTGTTTTTTATTACATTACAAGTCAGATGCGATTAAGGCCCATGGGCCGCTTGTTTTTTATTACATTACAACTCAGATGATATTAAGGCCCATGAGCCTCTTGTTTTTTTATAACATTACGACTCAGATGATATTAAGGCCCATTGGCCTCTTGTTCTTACTTCAAAGACTTTCTAAGCTTAACAAATGTTTATTTCCTAATCCAACATAAAAGAAATCTCTGAATCAGTCATTTCTTTGAAAAAAAATCTTGGTCAAGAACATGAGACTGTTTCTAACTATCAATTTGTTTGAGTGAAGTGGTTAACATGTTTGCTCTGCTTATTAAGCCTTTAAGCGAGGCTGTAACACAGGCAATTGCATGATCGGATTAAACGTATGGAAATTCAACGGGAACATCCTTTTATCTGGCTTAATAATATTACAGAAGATAGAAAACCATTACTCCCCAAAAAAAGACTATGCATGATCTTTACCTGTTAAGGGCCTAAGTGGTCTTTGCTATCAATTTGTGTTTTTGTTGAGATGGAATTGCTCGATGTATATGGTCTCCATGGAATTCTCTGGAAATTTTAATTTGTCGGTGAATTAGCACACACTAGTTAGAGACATTAGGGTCAAGGCCTACCATTAGGATCTGTCTGCTACTCATTTTAAGGTTGTTAACATATTTGCAACAATTATTCCGTTGAGAGAGTTGAGAGAAAAAAATCCAAGCTTCGATTTTCTGAGATTGATGGAGATCCGGAAATTGCTGATATGTTGAAATGTCGGCATGCAGCCATCGATCAACAGACAACTTTCTGACATTTGGGATTCCGAAATGATTTACCCCAGAGGACAATTTAATTGTTGAAAACTTGCTATTTATGGTCACAGATATCAATTTTTGAAGTCATTCTCACATACGCTGAATTCATTAAGCTGCAAGCTGGAAACAGAACTGTTATAGCCACAACAGAAGTATTGCAAACAATTGAAATTTTCACTTGCTAAATTAGAAACTCAATCATCGAAGCTTGTTTCTTTTTATCACATATTGGTGAGTGAACATCTAAACAAATTAAACTGAGAACAGATGGACACACTCATTAAAGACAAACACATTGATGATACATAGAGGACTAAGTACAAGGATAGCTCTTGGACAGTGTCTAATTGTTAAATATCAGTGGTATAGTTTTCCAGAGAGGCAAACAAATGTACTTGTAGGATTTTTTGTGTGAGGGATATTTTAACCAGCTTACTCTTAAAATTAATATGTATTTTGCCAGAAGGGATGTGTTAGTTTCCAGTCCAGGTGACAAGAAAAACAAGAAAAAGTAAATAAGAGGAATATGAGATTATACATAGCAATAAACAAATTACCTGTGTTACTGTTACATCTATAAGAAATGATGTTTTGAAATTGAAGATTTCTTCATATAATGTCTTTATATTTTCAAAATCACATAAAAAGTCACTGTCAATTTAAGTTACTTATAAAATGTGGTTTATTATATAACACATACTCTTGGTGAGCCTCAGATTCAAAATCTGGGGTAAACACTTTTCTCAAGATTGAAAACCAAGGTTAATATTACTCAAAACTATTTTTTTAAGTCATTTAACCAATTCTTTTCTGATTTAACAAAGTGTTTCTCTGCTTTCCTTTTGGATACAGAAGTGCCAGCTGTTGATGGAATCAGATGAAAGTCAATATTTTTTTTTATTAAATGACAAGTACAAATGTGAGCTAGTAAATGATGAATACTTTTATTTGGTTACAGATGGAGAATTTGATCTGTGGGATACGAGACACCAACCTGAAACTGACATTGGCATTTGGAATAGGTATCCATCATGCAGGTCTCCAGGAGCGTGACAGAAAATCAGTAGAAGAGCTGTTTGTGAACCAGAAAATACAGGTAAGACTGGCATTACTGGTAAAACAGAAAATACAGGTAAGACTGGCATTACTGGTAAAACAGAAAATACAGGTAAGACTGGCATTACTGGTAAAACAGAAAGTACAGGTAAGACTGGCATGACTGGTAAAACAGAAAATACAGGTAAGACTGGCATTACTGATAAAACAGAAAATACAGGTAAGACTGGCATTACAGGTAAAACAGAAAATACAGGTAAGACTGGCATTACTGGTAAAACAGCAGCTGCTGGTAAGAATTTCAGGTAATCATACTTGCAAACTTTTTGAAATTTCTATGGGTGAAATTGCCAGTGCTCAGAATTTAAAGCATAAATAATATGTGTGTACATACCCATAGGACAATAATAACACTTTTAAACGGCATCTTTTGAGCTGTTTTTTCAGATGAAATCCTCAGATCATAACAGATAGGAATAGTTTTTCAAATTCACTAGTTGAAAATGCTCATTTATAGGGTCCAAAATTGTGAGTCTCCCTCCGAAATAGGGAGAGTTGGCAAGTATGGGTAATTATTGGTAAAACTATACAGATCAACCAGACTTTATTTCAGTAATAAATGGCATAACTTTAGTCTGTATATAATTAACTAAGCACCAACATTAATCATATCCCAATATAAAATATTTCTCTCCCAATTATCTCCCTTGATGGAATTCTTATTGCCCTACATACTGGATCTCAAACATACTTGTTTTGTCATCCTCTTTATTTGAATGTGAAACAGACAAAGCGTACAGTTTGTGTATTGGTCTTTCTTTACACTCATCAGGCCATTTGAAGAGTTCAGGCTTGTGATTTCATTCAAATTTGTGTCTAGTTTATGATTTGCACATACATACTCCTTTGCAAATGTAGTCCAAGTAGAGAGACTACACATCAGGTCGCTCCGGAGACTACACATCAGGGGTCGCTCCGGAGACTACACATCAGGTCGCTCCGGAGGTTTCTTCTTGTCAACTGGGTTCCTGCTCCTTGATCAGTCCTAGGGAAACACTAAAGAATTGTCCATTGTGGTAAATGCATCAATGACAGTGTTTGGAGGCTTAGTGTGATGTCTGTTTGGATAAGAAGTTCAGTGAACTGATTTCATGGAACATAAATGTGTGGAAAGTTTGGTTCTGCATGGCTCTATACATGCAGTCTCTTTGAAAGTTTCTGTAATCCCAGTTGATTTGTGTGATTACAAACAATTTGACAGTTGTCATGTACATTCAGAAGGAGGGCACCAGATTGAATGTCCCGTGATCTGCCTTCCTCTCTCCGAGGAGATACATTTGACAATTCATGTCATGCATTTTCCATGCAAGTCAAACTTTTTAGTGGATACTCTGATCTTCAACATGGTACGCTGTCAGACCTCAGATAGATGCATGCCACTGCCCTGGAAAATTGAGCTTTCATCTTTTGTCTCTCTGGTTCCAAATCAATGCAATGGGTTGGTCAGTAGCTGCTCTTTGTCGTGACTGGAATGGAATGAATGCTGTACCTTTCTTCTGTTCTGTCTAGTGACAGTGTACTTAAGGAAGTTCCAAGTGACTCCGGTTCTCGTCTTTGTTGTACTCTTCTTTGGCTAAGGCTGCCTTGGTTCCTGGAGTTGTTGTTTATTCAGCCCTGGATGAGACAACCATGTCTAGAGATCCTCTTCCCACATTCATAGAGGCTAGCTATCAGTCATGAGGGGACCTGTGATCAGTCTGTTGCTGTGACCTGCCAGACGTTATTCATATTTTAAGGATTCACAGACATTTTGGTGAATCACTTCTTTTAGTTTAAACATATTTTATTTGAAAAAATTCAAATGGAATTGGACACAAGTTAAACAACTTAGAAACGTCCTCTTCCATAAACTATTACACAATGGTAACATACATATATGGCAGCATTTCATGAACAGTTGATATAAATATTATATATACATATTTATAAAACTTAACGTTAATGTATACAGATGGAAATATGCATTTCCCTTATATCAGTACTAGTTCAAGGAATTTCACTTAAAATGGCATAGATATAGTATGAATGTCATACCTAACAATTAAAGTATGTACATGTATAATAAAGCATAGTGAATAGATACAACTGAATGTTGGAACCAGTTTCTGCATGTAAACCTCAATTTTTTACTTAACATTTCATTTGACTAATAATGATGATTTGTCTTTATTATTTGATACTGAAGCAGATTATGCAAAACGATTCGTGTTTTTGATATATTCTTGTACAAACAACCGTATATTATCATTATCAGTCTGGTTCAGATTAATAGAACCGTTCAACAGTACATCTAGATCAATGACTATATCATATCTAGACAATTGTCTGAAAAGTATATCCCGACACTGGTTGCATATATTACATTGAAAAAAATAATGAAAGTGGTTCTCTATTGAGAAAGAACAGTTACATGCTGGTGATAAGACTAAATTACACTTGAAAAGATCTGCATTCAACGCGCTACAGACGTGACGGAGTCTAGTATGTATCATATCAAATTTTCTGTTACCTACAGACAGTTTAGTTACAGGTTTGTTTTTTCTAAAAATGCTATGTTTAAATCTTGACACTGTTTCTAGAGTTCTAGTTGAAATATCTAATGAATTCCACATTCTCAGGGTACTGGAGATAAACGATTTTTCATACAAAACTAGTCGACACTTGGGTAATACATAATCTTGACCATTTCTTAAATTATATCTACTAATGTCCTTTACTTTATTGGGTACAATGTCGTTTAGGTAAGAAGGAACTAAATTATGGTGCATTTTGTATAATAACTTTTTTTTTTGTTTCCGTCTGTCTTCAAGTTTTTCCCAGTCAGTTTCACTATACAAAGACTGTCTACTAGAAAATAAAGGCAAACCCTGTAACTATTCTGGCTGCTTCCAGTTGGACTTTTTCTATTTTATCAGAATCTGCATTGTTACAACCATCCCACACTTCACTCGCATATTCTAAAATAGGTCTGATGAATACAATGTATAATTTTGATAAAATTTCTTTATTCACGGTAAATTTCAATTTTCGTAAAACAGACAAATGTTTATGTCTGATCTGGCAATATGCAAGATATGTGTTTCCCACTTGCCATTTTCATTTAAAGTTACCCCTAAGTGTTTGTGTGTAACACTTTTGTCAATGTTGTGTTATTAAAAATCAAGTGAACATCAAGTCTTTCTAAAGAACCATTAAAAACAACTACGTCTGTTTTATTAGGATTAAAATTTACATTCCATTTCTTCGACCAGTGATCAATAACTGCTAAATCATGCTTTGGTTATTGAAATTTCTGCACTATTATTTGAAGAATATGCGAGTGAAGTGTCGTCAGCAAACATTCTTGACACAGAACCTAGTGGTACACCAGCATTTACATATCCTGTGTAAGAAAAAGCTTCACGTAAACATACCATTTGATTTCTACCACTTAAATAATCTCTCAACCAATTATAAATATTGCCTCTAAGACCATATGCTTTAATTTTTAGCTCACCTGGCACGAAGTGCCAAGTGAGCTTATGCTGTGGTGCGGCGTCCAGCGTCCGTCCGTCCGTCTGTCCGGCGTCAATATTTTACTTTAAACTACTTCTTCTTAATAACCGAATAGCCTAGGGTGATGGTATTTGGCCAGAAGCAAACTGGGATGAAGGGCTACCAAGTTTGTTCAAATAAATGACCTTCATCTATTTTCAAGGTCACAGGGGTCAAATATGTTAAAAACTTGAAACAACTTCTTTTCAATAACCAAACTGTCCAGGAGATGATATTTGGTCAGTAGCATGCTAGGGTGAAGGGCTACCATGTTTGTTCAAATGAATGACTTTCAATTATATTCAAGGTCACAGGGGTCAATTGTCTTAAAAAAACTTTAAATAACTTCTTCTGAATAACCAAAATGCCCAGGGTGATGATATTTGGCCAGTAGCATGCTGAGATGAAGGGCTACAAAGTTTGTTCAAATGAATGACCTTC